CCCTCTCTGTGATGCCACTGTTCCAGCAGACCACTCCGTACAGGATGGCTGATGCCACTACTGAGTACTTTTACTGCATTTATGTTAATTACCCTATCTTAAAAAATAACAATATGTTTCATCTTATAAGTTTATGAAATGTTTTTAAAAATCTTAATCCACAATTTACAACATCCTGTGTTTATTTGGTGTCTATGATGGGAGAAAAAGTCCAATAAGTGAAAACAAATTTGGATCACAGAACCTTTTTTCTTCTTAATCATCCCATGACCTCAAATCTAAAAGAATTTAATTTATGAGATCTTAATCTTGTAATTACGGGACATTTAGTCATAAATCTCTTTAAATGTGCATCCATTACCAAAAACATGTCTCTCCTACTTCCTGTACTTTGCACAAATGTGCAGTTTATCCAAATTACTTTGCCCAGCACAAATATCTTCATTCATTTGGTCTAAACCACCGACTGCACAGCCTTATTGTTCATAACTCAGACAAACTTTATCTCATTTATCAAGTTGTACATGTGTCATATTGTCTTTATATTTATCTTTTCGTGTATTTCCTCATATGCCCACACGTCTTAGTGGACCTGCAGTCCTCCTATGTGCCGCACATTGTGTTAAATGACAATAAAGTTGAATTGAATACTCTTATGTTGTCATCAAAAATGACGTGAAAAAGGCAACATTCGCCAAAAAGATGTTTTGCATCCGTGCTGTTCTTCTCATACTTCTTTATTTTGCTGCATATTTAAATTAAACCAATAAAATGTACTGAGTAAAATGGTTTTATATTAAATTCTGTGCAGCTACAGTAAAAACCTGCTCTCTAGGTGAAGTGCCAACCAATCACAAGTGCTTATTGACATTATTTCAAAATAAGAGCACACCCCTTTTAAACATAACTTCATCCAAGATGATCAAAACCAAGTTATCTGGATGATTTTAGCTTGTGTGTTCAGCCGTGTGTTCTTACATCCTCTTATTGTGAAGTTTGTGAATAAATGAAGGCGCTGGAAGCTGGTTTTGGTGGGTCAGCTTGCTACAACTTTAATCCAAACATTGCTCTGCATATTCAATACATCATCATCATCATCATACTGTATCCTCTACATAGCTCCCTCTCATATCTCTAAACAATTTTAACAAAATAAGTCTAGTAGCACATCATTCAATAACATTTTATTTTACAATTCTCTCTCTGTACTGTAGTGTTTTTCTCTTTAAACATCAGGAATATTTGTTCGTATTTATTTATTTTCTTTAAACACGGAGACAAGACGGAGTACACGAACGATGACAAACGCTGCTCAAGAGTCCAGAGTATGAACCGACCCACACTCCCCTGTTTCACCAACACACACACACATTGAAATAATTTAATGTCTGCTAAAAAACATTTCATCAGAGGCCTTAAAGTGATTAAAGTCTGTTTGGAGAGAAGCTGAATCGCCAACACACATTTTTAGCAAATCCTCAGCTCTGTAGCCGTGTTAGCAGGTCCGTTACTCAACTGGAATAAACTGTTTTTAAAGGAAATAAATTAGTTTTTCCAACAAGCTTAAATGTAACGTTTGTCCTGTAGATGGCGCCACAGGAGAGGTTAATTTAAAATCATCATTAGATAGATGGTAGAAGTCTGAGCGCGTGTTCACGTCGTCAGACTTTGGACTCTATATTTTGACTTTTTGATAATTATTGAACACTAAGTCGAACATATCTTTCACAAAACATCTTAGTCATAGTTGACCCTTCCTAAGCCCCGCCCCCTTTTGGACCATCAGTGAACTTTGTCCTTCCTGTACCTAGATAAGCTCTGTGGTAGGCTAAGGTTGAAAAGACAACCACATTTTGAAGATGGTTTAAAGATAAAAGTGACATAAAGTAGTTAGTTAGTTAATGTTAGCAAAACACCAGCTAACTAGGCAGCAAAAAGGGGCAGGACTTAGGAAGGGTCAATTACGCCGTGGCGAATACAGTCAGCCGAGTTGTCCTCGTTATTTTCAACTAACATAACTATTTGGATTTGTACAGCTTCTCTCCACACATCAACACTGACAGACCTCTGACAGTCAAATAAACCAAGTGTGTGTGTGATAGTGTGTGTTTATCAGAGAAAGAGTGTGTGTGTGTGTGTGTGGTTGTGTGTGTGTGTGTGTGGTTGTCCGCACACATACACAAACTGTGGTGTTAGTTACATCAGAGGCACTTTGACCCCGTTTTTCTGTGCCCCGAAAACCAAAACGAAAAAGAAAGAAAATAAATCAGATTTTTATTTTAATAATTTGGCTTCAAGTTTCAACCCCGACCCAAACTCCCCTGAAAACGAATAAAAACAAAACAGAGAAAACACCATGTTACACATCCAACATGGCCGAATAAAACCCGAACAGAGCAGGACTTCCTGAAACCGCCTTTACGTGAACACTTCCCAGCCGACTCGGTTAACGACAACACTGATCCAGGTGGCGCTCAGTCACTGTTTGTGCTTCACTTGTGCTCCAACAGTCTGAACGTACCAACGCAGTATTTTAATGTGGATTCACTTTATTACTATAGTGACATATAGAGCTGAAAGCTGTCCCTATAGTGGGACTGTGTTTAACGTAAACAGGGTGGGATTAACCCACAATGCCCAGAAACTGATGCTAGAATACGACACGGACGTCACTTTCTCAAAATATCTCCTTCGGATTTTAATTAACAAGGAATATTTTTCAATGAACACAACACAATATCCAGTCAATAATAAAGAGAGGAGGGTGGGACTGACCCCTCTCTCTCTGGGAATATTGTTTGTTTATATTTGAGCCGCAATGATTAGTCAATTTAAAATGATTTTATATTTTAATTAGCTTAATTGTCATTTTTCAAGCTGAATTGACAAACATTACCTGGTTCCAGCTTCTTCTATGTGAAAATTTGTTGCTTTTCTTTGTATGATAGTAAATTAGACTTTTTCAGGTTTTGGACCGATGGTCGGACAAAACAAGACATTTTAAGAAATTAACTTGATTTATGAGAAACTGTGATGAGTATTTGTCAATATTTTCTTAAAGATCTTTGAGACCAAACAAATGTTTGAGCTGAAAGACTGAAATCTTACGGTAATAATCGAAGCTGCAGCTGTAGAAGAAAGTGACGTTAGTTTGACCGGTTATCATTTTCCTCAGATTTTCTGTATGTCAGTTAGTTTGTGATAAACTGATCAAACACACATTTGTTTAAGAATATACACCATTGTAGGCAAAACATCAACAGGAATATTAAAGGTAATAAAACTTGACGGCCCCACTAAAGAATAAGAGTCTCAAGAGTTGGTAAAAAACTTGAGGGCCGCTATCGTTATAGTTCTTACTGTACCTTAGTGGTGCAAGTATAAAATATTACCTCAAAGTCAAATGCCACATTAACAAACTGCACCGGCCAGAAATGTTTTTAAAAACAGGAAAAACTGCCAAATTTAAGGATTTAGACTTCAATAGCATCAAATATTAGCAAAAGTTAGCTAAATGTACATCATATTGCTCAAGAAGGAAGCACAGACCATTACTGAAGTTGTCAAAGAGACATTTCCGCAGGCATGTGAAAGCACAGAGCTGGTCTGAAGATCTGAAAGAGTAAAATTAAAGCTGAATTATGGAGAAGGCGAGCACGTTGTAGGTCCATCCTCAGTAAAGATACTGAAGAACTATCCTCAGTGATGAAGGTGAAACAGACTGACTACAGCCAGGTCCGTCCAACCACTTCTGACAGAGCTACAGATAAACACAGCCTGCTAACAGATTCCAGTAGCCGATGAAATCTATCAATCGGTGTGCTGACCTGCCAGTTTTCAGTGATGAGTGTGGATCATGTTCCCCTGACTGGACTGAGGCGGCTGGAAAGTGTTGCGTTCACACCCGTTCCGCTCGTGTACGACGGGACGCGTGTGAACGTCACCTTTGGCAGGTTTGGGGTTTTTTTGCGAGGAAGATCGGCCCTGCTGGAGAACGCTTTTGTTACCCAGAAATCAGCAGAGAGACGAAAACCAAAAAAGCCCCCACCACAGCTGAGAGAGAGCCACGAATAAAAACGACAACAAAACTCTCGGCCGCAAAAAAAAAAAAAACACACAAAAACAAAATAAACCAAGAAGAATCTGAATCCTCTGTAGAAACCACAACCTTTATATTCCCTCTACAATTATGTACAATTAGACTTTATACAAGTAAAGCAGTGATGCTCTCCTCACAGCGCTCTCTGTGTGTGTGTGTGCTTGTGTGCGTGTGTGTGTGTTTGTGTGTGTGTCCTAAGTGGAGCTGCTCTTGGAGAGGTTGGGGTAGAGGACGGCTGCCGTCACGGCGACCATCACTGCGATGACCGGCATCCAGGGGCTCCAGCCGCTCTGTCCGAGAGAGAGACGACAACACACACGAATGAAAACACGGACAAAGAAAATCTCAGTTAGTCATCGTCATGTCTGAGCTTTTAGACTAGAATAAAGAAAGAGAAGAGGAAGAAAGATGAAGAGGAGCAGAGGGAAAGACAAAAACAAAGAGCAGAAGATAGAAGAAAAAAAGCCAAGTCCAAAAGATAATATTTTTTCTTTCTTGTTCATCTAATTGGAAAAAGTTATCTTTGTTTATTTATAGAGGACAGAACACAGGAATGTGGCCTGTTGTAGTCTGAGTATCACTGAATCTTATTATTATTATGTCGACCTTCTTTGGGACCTTGTTTGTCCAAGGTGTATGTGATTTAGTGTGAATGGCTCCTGTATGTTGTCTGTGATTAGCTAACTATTATACGTTTGATTTCAAAAACACAGAAAACAATGTTGTTCCTCATTTCCACTGGTATTCCAGATGTTTGCTGCTCTCACACAAAAAGCTAATTATCTCCAGGAAAACAAGTTCAGGGTTGGACACTGTAAATTACATTTCTGTATGACATGAAAACGCAATAAATTGGGTTTGTAGTGTTGCTTATAGATTTACTCATGTAAGTCTTAACTCATAAGTTAATGAGTCAGATATAATTTGGTTCTTTTGGGAAAAGTTCTGTCTGCTGTGAAGTTGTCGGTGTAACCAGTGCCAGTACCAGGCCACTTTCTTGGCATTTAAACCTCTGCATCTTCCAAGACCCTGTAACTGATCACAGATGAATCAATCATCAAAAAGGTCTAAATCGGTATGGTCCTTTTATCAGCCAAGCCTGTTGTCTGTTTAAAGTGCACAACAGATGGTTTCTGCTGAGGATTATTGGAGTTGTCTCCATTTTAAGTTGGTTATCTGCATCAGATATGAGCAAGCCTCACGGTAGAGGAGCATGTGGGTTTATAGTAAACATCTTGCTCCTACAACTCAAGAACAAAAGATGAAACACTGAATAATAAAAAAATAAATAAAAATAGAATCTTTTGGGGCTTCAGGAGAGGTAGAGGAGAGGAACAAAGTCAAAGAAATAGAAGGTAAAATCAAAAACACAGCTGGAAGCAGCAAAACAAAGGCTGAGGAGGTTACCTGAGTAGAAAAACAGAAACATTACAGACCAGTTTTCCTTTACAGCAAACGACTGGAAACACTGGTCAGACATTCCCACATGAACAGACAAGCAGCAAACACAACCAGCACAACACAGGACGAACACAATGGACAGAATGATGGATGTTTTAAAAATGACGAGAAAAAAGTTTCAGTGGCTGCAGTCAAAGTAAACAAAGAGACCTGTCAGCAGGCAAAAGACAGAATGGAAAAATAACTCAGATTAAGCTGCAGACTGGATGCAAGAAAAGAATAACCACAAACCCTGTTGTGAGAGATGATGCATAAAATGAAATTAGATTAAAAAAGCGCCAACACCCTGAAAGTGAGCGGCAGCTGTGAAGAGACAGTAAATGAATGAATGAGGGACGAGTTAGTGACTGAGGAGGAGGTCATGAAGGAGAGAGTGCGACTCTTTAAAGGGAAACACTTTTATCTTCATGTTTCAGAGGAAAACTGAGGCCAAAATAAAGATTTGTTCAGCTTCATACTAACAGGTTATTTACTGGATTGAAAATACACTTTTCAGCTGTCACATCCAGAACTAACTGGTGTTCAGTCTCCTCAGACCCCCCCGCAGGATTTTGCTTTTAATTACTATAAATTTAAACAATTCTGCATCATTTGTAAGAGCTTACAATTTAACACTTAGTCAAATTCATAATGAAAGAACTGTAGTAAATCGTCGGCCCTTTCCATGTGAAACAATCACATTTAGGACAACTGTAAAGGATAAAAAAATCAATCAATAAATTAAGTCTTAGGCTAAACAAACGTTTTCTTGAACATTTTGCCTTCTTGGCCCTGAGGTCCAAACCTGAGCAGACACGACACGATTGTATTGATCTTGCATGTTGTGTTAACTCACACTCCATTCATTACATTTTATAACCGATCTTTTGGCAGCAGCCAGGAAGGAAACTACAAAACAGCCGACTGGAATACCAGAAATCATTCAAGTGATTAATCAGGCGCCATGACCTCAAACGGCCTTCAAATCAGGCAGAGATTTGGCCCAGTTCTAAAACAAGTTGAGGGCAACAGTTTCCTGCTGCTTTAGGAAATCAATGAGCCTTTTGTAAACATGAAACTATATATTTAAAGGTTCATCTCTTCAGTAGGAACCAATGTCTGATTGATACTATTAACTACATTATTGACAATTAGAAAAATATAGATCAGTTTTACAATAGTCTTAGAATTGCTAACATTAGTCATCAGATGTAATTAGTTAGCTAACAATTAATGTAGATTAGCTAACTAGATAACGAGTGTTTTCGTAACATTAGCCATCTTAATATGTGACTTTAAATCATCTTCAAAATAGTTCTGACCAAGTTCAGCTGTTACTGGAGCACAGAGCACAGAGGACGTAGGAAGAGTCAACTTGAGCTTCCTGGTGAGGACTCTGAACAGATTACTGTCTATGACGACTACAGTAAAGATCACTGCTCACATTTACAACCAAAATAAAAGTTTCTTCAGAACCGCTGCAGAAGACGACTTAATATTGTTTTCCTGTGGAAGCCTGAGTCAGCAGGTACTGAGGAGACTGAAGTGTCTGTGGGTGCGCGTCCCTTTAAAGAGCCGAGTTTAGTGTTAGCTGCAGCAGAGCAGAAGCAGAAGTAGTGTGACCGACACCCATGCAGTTAGAGCTGCTCAAACCAGAAGACAAAGACGGACCACCGTGATGATGAAGATGATGACGATGATGAAGATGATGATACTCAAGTCTTAAAGGTAAGTGTAGGAGGTGAGAAGAGCGTCCCACTGATCAGAATTCAGGATTCAACACTAACAGCCTGTTTACCGCTTTAACAGTTTAATGAACTGTTTTACATAAAGTAATGTTGGTATGAAAACCAATAAAAAGGTCTTTGTTCCGAGTCCACTGTTACATGTATGTTCAACCAAAGCCCAACTTTGCCTTCCTGGTAAATAATATATAAATTTAGGGCTGAGTGTCCACAGCACAGAGTATCGAATACTTTCAAATACTGAGAGATGGAAGTGAAAGTCTGGTCAGATTTGATGTTCTTGTTACTGGTTTTTGATCAGATTCAGTTCCGGAATTGAATTTAATCTATTTTAGACTGTATCTTATTTCAGGCTAAAGTCTTACAGCTGCACAGCTTTTTAGATGACATTTTAGGAACGTTGGCTTCTTTTGTTTGAAGAAAAATAGAGAGAAGTGTATTTTATCAACAGAGACATTTGAAATGACACCCAGCCCTGTTTAGCACCCAGTGGTGCGTCTCAATTCCACCAACACACTGCTTATGTTCTGAAACTGGATTAGGATGTATGCGTTTAACAAAAACCTCAAAAAGTGAACTGGGTAGAAATTCGGGGACTTACAGGTGCTGTAAAAAGAATTAGGGAGTCTAACATTTTCTTTTCTGTTTTCTTCATATTTTATTAGTCCAATAGTTGTTTTTCCAATACTAACCTGACATATCTCCATCTCTCTAATCATAACCATGTTTTACCTCCACATAGATGCAGAGTAATTAACTAATGCCCTATAGATACGATGATAACAGAAAGAAAACACAGCTGTGAAACAAATGCCACCTACTTTTTATTGGAGCACTGAAGGTTAAAGATCATGACCATGGTTTAGATTTGGCTAAGAATCATCATTTTAGCCTAAGGAAGACTGTGCGGGTTACTTTTATTGTCTTATTCTCATGGCTCTCAACATGTGACCCTGAATTCATTACAGATGAGGACGATGTTTTCACCTCTGTCATCTTTCCTTCCACAGATGACGAACAGATGGAAGCAAAAGAGACAGACAGAGAGAGACAGACTGATGTCATGTCGGTGTGTACCTTTCTACCACAACTGGCCGAAACACCAGTAGAGCAGAGCCAGGACAAGGCCAATGAATATGGCTTGGACAGGCTGCAATATGGATGGCTAGAGGGGAGGGAAGGAGGGGGGAGGGGGGAGGAGAGGGATAAGAAGAAATCAGCCGGCAAATCAACCAAAACCAACATGGAGGATGGAGCAGCTACAGCGAGGGGGGAGGAAGGGGAGAGAGAGAGAGAG